ACGCTAGTCAGACTTCTTCTCGCCGGCGATGTTGCGCGGCGATTCTTCTTCTGGCGATGTGCTTCTTATTACTCCCCAACGACGATAGTCGACGCTTACGGCGATCCTTCTCGCTGGCGACGGTTCTTCTCTCGTGCGACGACGATTCTTTTCCGGCTATCTAGCTTCTTCCGGGCGACGGCATTCATCGTTGGTCGCAATTCTTCTCGCCGGCGACGATGCTCAACGCTGGCGACGGTTCGTCTGGCTCGCGACGATTGTTTCTCGTCGCAGACGGCTCTTCTCGCTGGCGACGAGCTTTTGCGAGGCACCGAGCTCTTGCGAGGCTGCGATTCCAGTCGGCGACGTGCAGCGATTCCAGTCGGCGACGTGCAGCGATTCCAGTCGGCGACGAGCAGCGATGCCAGTCGGCGACGTACTGCGATATCAGTCAGCGACGAGTAGCGATGCCAACGCGGTGAAGCCGACCAGGTTAGTCCGCGCAGTTCCCTTCAGTTGACTTGTCGCCCATCGTTTCGCTCATCTTTTCGCTCATCCTTTCGCGCAGATTAGCGTATCGTAGTTGCTGTCGCGTATTTCCGTCTTCTCAATTTCCGACTTGGTCGCGACTTTTGCGTGGTATGGCAGGCGCGTTGGGCGATGCGCGTTCGGCGCGAGCGGGCGAGCAAGCCGCGCGTCCGGAAGGTGCGCGACGGCGTGAGCGCGCATGCGCGCAAGGAATGGCACGTGGCGCGCGCCTGTGGCGGAGATGGGTTCACCTCGTAGCGCCGTCCTGCGTGCCCCACCTCGCACCTGGTGGGGGACATGGAGTGCACAGGCAGCAGCTGCTCTCCACCCAACACCAACCCACCCACAGCTAAGTACCCTCCCTGCCTCTCTTCTCGACCCACGCACTTGTGTTGCTTTTCATGTCTTGTTTGCACCATGCATCAACCTCGCTTCTCTACTGCCCTCTGTCACACTCAAGAGACCTCCCTCCCCAAGGTAGCAGGTACACAACTTTGGTACAGCCTCAGGTATTAGGTTGAGACAGGTTCAGCTGGTATGAGGTCTCTTGGGTGTGTCACTGCAGCAGTCCATTCATTCATTTTCTTACTGCACTCTTCACTCTTCTATTTTGCCCTTGCTTCTTCACTCACCACCCTCCCCACTCCTCTGCTCCCCCTTCATTCCCTGTCCTCTCCTCCACACTTTCCCCCCTCTGCCCCCTCTCGTCCCAGCAGGTCGCTCACACAACAGTGGCAGTGGCGGGGGACATGGAGTGCACAGGCAGCAGCTGCTCTCCACCCAACCCACCTACAGCTAAGTACCCCGCCCTTCCTCTCCTTTCCCGACCTTCTCTTGCCGTCTTTTGCTTTCCTTTTTTATCCTTGCTGCATCTCCTCTTTCGTGCCTCTGGTTGAGCCAAAGCTTCAAGCCACAGACCACTTTTTCTTCGGTAAACCCCCCTAGGTACATCAGGTATACTCTCAGGTCAAGCCTCCCTAGGTATATACCCTCTTTGGGTCTGTGGCTTGTAGCTGAGGTTGCACCAGTGGCCCCCTCCCCTCTGCTTCCCGTCGTGTGCATGCACGCCTCTCCTTCACCCCCTCGCCTCTCCACCAGTCACTCACTTTTTCTCCGTGGGCCATTGCAGGTGGGGGCGTGGGGCGTGGGGTCAACACCGCCGCTCCTGCACGCGCCTCCCCTGTGGCCGTGCAGGTACCCGCGGGAGGAGGGAAGGCAGCACCACTGCAGCGGACTGAAATTGGTGCTGCTAGGGAGAGTATGGGGGTGGGCTTGGCCTCTCAAGGTATGTTAGCTCCCTCCTTGACCGCATCCCTTCCCCCTTGACTGCATTCTCGTTTTCGTGCTCAGTGTGTTTCTGTTTCTGTTCATGCCAAGTCATCCCCTCTTCCTGTCCCTCCTTCACAACCCCGTCCTCTTCCTGCCAGGCCAGCGCAAGGCGAGCAGCAAGCGAGGGGAGGGCAGCAGGCGAGGTGGGAGGCGAGGGGGGGGCGAGGCAGGCAGCAGGGCAGAAGCGCCGGCCTCATCAACGGTCGAGGTTGCAAGTATCGGCCCGCCGCCACACTCCACAAGAGCCCCACTCCCCCCCGTTTCAGGTTCAGGTTCAGGTGCAGGCTCAAGTGCAGGTTCAGGTGCAGGTTCAGGTGCAGGTGCAGGTGCAGGTGCAGGTGCAGGTGCAGGTGCAGGTGCAGGTTGGTAATGGCTCTTGTGGGGCTGTGGGCGGCATCACATGCACCGTCGTTTCTGCACTCCCACTGCTGTCAGGCGCTCTTCTCACTTGCAACAGCTGCTCCCTCCCACTTGCCACGGACTTACTCTCTCTCTCCCCCTCCTCTGCCTCGCAGGTCCATTCTTTCAACCCCCTCTCGCCACGCCCACTCTGCATAAACGCACCCCCTCCGCCTGCACCACCACTGCTCCAACTTTCAGCTAAGTCATTCGCCTCCTTCAACCTTGCCTCCCAAGTGCTTTCGGTTGATTTCAGTTCTGCTTCTTTTCTTTCTTTCCATTCTGTCAAATCTCGCCGCTGGTTGGGGCATGACTCGCAAGCCACAGACCTCCCTTTTCTTATTCCAGGTAAACCCCTCAGGTTCAGGTTCAGGTTCAGGTTCAGGTTCAGGTTCAGGTTCAGCCCCCTTACAGAAATTCAGCCCCTGAGGTCCCCTTGGGGGTCTGTGCCTTGTGCTTGTGCCTCAACCAGTGGCCCCTTCCTCTCAGGTGCAGGTACCCCCTCAGGTGCAGGTAACCCCCTCAGGTGCAGCCCTTGGGTCTGTGGTTTGTGACTTGGCCTCCACCAGTGGCCCCTCCCCTCTCCCGCCTTGCAAGTTCTGTTCCCGCTCTTGCAATTTCACCCTTCATCCCCTCGCTGCCTACTCACCAGCTCTGCGTGTGTGCCTTGCAGGTGGGGGGGAGGGGTGTGGGGTCAGCACCGCCATTCCCTCACGCCTCTCCCCGGTGGCCGTGCAGGGAGGGACGCACACGGGAAGGCTGGGAGGAGGGCTGCCGGGGAAGGAGTCACCTGGTGCTGCTGCAGCTGCCCTGTGCTCGCTCTCACGCCTTACAGCTAAGTTCCCTCAACCCCTTGCCTGCCTCGCCATGTCTTGTGTACTTTGCTGGCATCTCGTTGTTGCATGCGCTTTCGCACCTTCCTTCCCCTTGAATCAGTGCCACTGGTTGGGCCCGCCTCACAAGCTGCAGACCCCCCGACTTCAGGTAACCCTCTCAGGTGCAGGTACCCCCTCAGGTGCAGGTAACCCCCTCAGGTGCAGCCCTTGGGTCTGTGGTTTGTGACTTGGCCTCCACCAGTGGCCCCTCCCCTCTCCCGCCTTGCAAATTCTGTTCCCGCTCTTGCAATTTCACCCTTCATCCCCTCGCTGCCCACTCACCAGCTCTGCGTGTGCGCCTTGCAGGTGGAGGGGAGGGGCGGGGGTCAACACCGACGCTTCCCCACGCCCCTCCCCGGTGGCCGTGCAGGTGGCAGTGGTGGGAAGGGAGGGGGGCAGCACTGTCAGTCGCTGTCACAAGGGAGAGTATGGGGGTGGGCTTGGCCTCTCAAGGTACGTCACCTCCCCTCTTGCCCTCATCTCTCTCCCTTTCTGCTCTTCAGTTCTGCCTTTTCGTTTCCGTCAGCTGCAGTTTTATTTGCTCTTTCTCTGGCCATCCCAACTCAGTTACTTTCACTTCCCCCTTTCTTCCCCCCCCACCAGGTCACTTGGCATGGAGAGAAGACTGTAGCAGAGGAAGCTGAGTAGCAGACCGGCAGCAGCAGTTGCAGCAGCAGAAGCAGTGGGGGGTGGGGGGCTAGAGGCAGACTAGGTTAGGTCGAGTCGTGAGCGAGGTGTGGTATCAGGTGAGGTATGGTATCAGGTGTGGTATGGTATCAGGTGTGGTATGGTAACAGGTGTGTTGTCTGATCCCCTCCTCTCTCTTTCTCCCCCCCCACCCCTCCTTGCAGCCTGAAGGAGGGAGGGAGCACTGGAGCAGGGCAGGACAGAGGCATCCCTCCTTTCATCCCTTCCCCCCTCTCCCCCTCTCTCCCCTTCCCAGCAGCCTTGGCATCATGGCGCTCTGCACGGCTGTGGTAGGTACAGGTAAGCAGGCATGGGGGTGAAGTGTGGGGTGGGTGGGTGAGAGCATGGGAGCAAGCGGGGAGGTCACTGCCTTAGGGGCAGCACCCTCTGGGGTTGTGCCTTGTGGTGGGGTGTGGTGGGGTGTGGTGGGTGGAATCTGCGCGGCACGGCACTCGGTGCTCAGGTTCCCGATCTGACGTTCAAGGCCTAATGGACACCGTCAGAGCCGACCGGCCGGCGGCTCTGGTCCGCGTCAGCTCTGGCTACGTCAGGGGTGGGATTTGAGTCTTGGGCTGGAAGCAACTTTCCACTACCACACCTCGTCCTGCACGGCACAGCCTCTGGGGGTGTTGTTTTCCTTAAGGAAGTGAGCTGTCTGCTGCTCCTACTGCTAGCAGGTAATGGTGGGGAGGGCCTGGGTGGGTGAGAGAGAGAAGGGGCCTGAATCCCCTTGGGTGGGTGAGAGAGGGAAGGGGTCTGAATCCCCTTGGGTGGGTGAGAGAGAGAAGGGGCCTGAAAACACTAAGGGTGAGTGAGGACGGTGGAGAAGGGTTGAAACATTCTGGGCATGGAGAGAGCAAGGCAGGGAAGGGGGGTTTGGGATCTCAGGATAAGGCTGGCTAGGGGCAAGGGGTGAGTCAGAAGAAGGGAGGTTAACCCCTTGGGTGGGTGAGTGTGAGGGAGGGGGGTTAACCCCTTGGGTGGGTGAGTGAGAGGAAGGGGGGTTAACCCCTTGGGTGGGTGAGTGAGAGGAAGGGAGGTTAATCCCTTGGGTGGGTGAGTCAGAGGAAGGGAGGTTAATCCCTTGGGTGGGTGAGCTGTCTGCTGCTCCTACGGCTGGCAGGTAATGGTGGGGAGGGGGCGGGTGGGGGGGGGGATGGTGGTGGTGGTGGTGGTGTTGGGGTGGTGGTGGGGTGGTGGGATTTAAGGCAGCGGAGGAGGGTGAAGCCCCAAGGTTGAGGTGAGTGAGCGGTGGGGGCTGAAACCCCGTGTGTGGTTGAGTGAGAGGGATGGGGGTTGAATCCCCTCTGGTGGGCGGGTGAGTGAGATAGGGATGGGGGTTGAATCCCCTCTGGTGGGCGGGTGAGTGAGATAGGGATGGGGGTTGAATCCCCTCTGGTGGGCGGGTGAGTGAGATAGGGATGGGGGTTGAATCCCCTCTGGTGGGCGGGTGAGTGAGATAGGGATGGGGGTTGAATCCCCTCTGGTGGGCGGGTGAGTGAGATAGGGATGGGGGTTGAATCCCCTCTGGTGGGCGGGTGAGTGAGATAGGGATGGGGGTTGAATCCCCTCTGGTGGGCGGGTGAGTGAGATAGGGATGGGGGTTGAATCCCCTCTGGTGGGCGGGTGAGTGAGATAGGGATGGGGGTTGAATCCCCTCTGGTGGGCGGGTGAGTGAGATAGGGATGGGGGTTGAATCCCCTCTGGTGGGCGGGTGAGTGAGATAGGGATGGGGGTTGAATCCCCTCTGGTGGGCGGGTGAGTGAGATAGGGATGGGGGTTGAATCCCCTCTGGTGGGCGGGTGAGTGAGATAGGGATGGGGGTTGAATCCCCTCTGGTGGGCGGGTGAGTGAGATAGGGATGGGGGTTGAATCCCCTCTGGTGGGCGGGTGAGTGAGATAGGGATGGGGGTTGAATCCCCTCTGGTGGGCGGGTGAGTGAGAGAGGGATGGGGGTTGAATCCCCTCTGGTGGGCGGGTGAGTGAGATAGGGATGGGGGTTGAATCCCCTCTGGTGGGCGGGTGAGTGAGATAGGGATGGGGGTTGAATCCCCTCTGGTGGGCGGGTGAGTGAGAGAGGGATGGGGGTTGAATCCCCTCTGGTGGGCGGGTGAGTGAGATAGGGATGGGGGTTGAATCCCCTCTGGTGGGTGGGTGAGTGAGATAGGGATGGGGGTTGAATCCCCTCTGGTGGGCGGGTGAGTGAGAGGGATGGGGGTTGAATCCCCTCTGGTGGGTGGGTGAGTGAGATAGGGATGGGGGTTGAATTCCCTCAGGAGCGAGGGTGGGAGAGGGATGGGGGTTGAATCCCCTCAAAAGGGTGAGTGGGAGAGGGATGGGGGTTGAATCCCCTCAAAAGGGTGAGTGGGAGAGGGATGGGCGCTGCATCCCCTTAGGTTGGTGAGTGAAGGGAAGCGGGCTGAAACCTCTAGAGTGGGTGGGTGGAATGCGAGGGGTAAGCATAGAGCTTTTAGAGGGCACAGCTCGAATAAGCCCAGTCAGCTAGAGGTCCACATGTGTTTCAGGTTGAGGTATGGGAGGGGGGTTCACACCGCGAGGATCAGTGTGCGACGAGGTGAGGTGAAGGCTGGCACTTTGCCATCTGATTCGCGCTCAGGCATGGGCAGCAGGCATGCAGCAGCAGGCATGCAGCAGCACACATGCAGCAGCAAGCGGACACCAGCAGGCATGCCTGAGTGTGAGGCACGTCTGACCAGCAGTCAATGACCTCAATGCTCCTGTGTGAGCGTAGGGCTGCCGTGGACGTACGATTGATGCATTGGTGCACTCAGCAGCACACGGTATTGTGTTGACCAGCAAACTCCCCTTGGGCTTTCCATCCATTTCATCCACACAGCAGTGCAGTGCAGGCTCGGGGGCATGAAATGTTTGGAGGATTTTCCTGACTCATGGTCGAAGGGCTTCCGAATTGTGCTGTACTGATGAAGGAGTGATTGGGTTCGCCCATCCGCCGAAACTAGTTTACGCAAGGAGGCTTTTCGGAGACAAGGGGGTTTTCAGATCTACGAATTTCACAAGCTTTTGCCTTTTTGCTGTTGATCCTTTTGCTAAAGCGTCACCATCACGTACTGCAGCCCTTCGACTATGAGTCAGGTTTTCCATCCATTTCATCCACATGGCAGTGCAGCAGGGCTTTTTTTTTGGATTTTCACTAGGATTTTCAGAGCTGTTTTTTTTGGAACTCTGAAAATCAGGGTTCATTATGAGCGTTACTCTGATTTGTCAGAGAATACTTAACTTCTGGAAAAAGAACTCTGGATAATCAGTGCACCTATTTTTCCAACTCTGGGTGTCCTCTCAAGTATTGAACCCAGGCCTTCCGCGCTCCAACCAAAATACTTACCGCAATGCTACACGCTCATAACCTTTGTAGACGACGCATGCAAATTTTACTATGACGAGACTGCCTAGCCATCTTCCACTTTTCCTGCGGGGGGCTCGGTCGAAATGCCTATACCCTGTACAGAGAAAAATACATTCGCCAGAAATTTACACTGGTCGATCAGAGTGGCTAAAAACAAAACCCTGGCAAATCAGAGAAAACTGATCTTCCAAAAAAGTTACCCAGAAACGTCAGAGTGACCCCCCAAAAACCATTCTGATTTTCAGAGAAACAGAGTAGTTTACTCTGATAAAAAAACCCCTGCAGTGCAGTGCAGGCTCGGGGGATTTAAGACTTGGAGGAATGCTGATGGAACTGCTGTTATCCATTACTGCATGGCATGGATTGAAGTAGAGTACGGTATGGTAGTATTAGTATGATCTCTCTGTTATGGATATCAGTTCTTTGTAAATGTCAACGGTGTGATGTGAGTTTCTTATATTTCACACTGCAAAGTTACAGTCCAACTGAAGATGTTGCTTTTGCCGTGTAACATGTCAATCAACACTACCGTAAATGGGCAAGTGCAATGAGTGGCATCACTATGAGAGGTGGAGCAATAAGCGGGAGGAACTTCCAGCAGCCCCTGCGAGCTACAGCAGAGCTGGAAGCAAAACAGGTGCTTCACCTTTAAATCTTGCTGCTAGCAAGCAATACACTCGGATTAGATAATATGGATCCATGTCATGGCTGATAATGATTCATGCTGTTGATGCAGTTGCTCGTGATTCATGCTTCTCCACTCCACTCATGCATGTGCCATGTGACGACAAGTTGCAGGTTCGGGGCAGCAGCAGGGGAGGAGGGGCGCGGTGGGGAGCCGGAAGCAGCTGGGAGCTGCCCGTGTGCCTCACAACGTCTCTCTCTACCTCGCCCATCTGCCTGTCACAGTGCCTCCAGCAACCCAAACTTGGCCAGATGCCTCCGGGCGGCGGGGGAGGGCAGGTCCGCTGCAGAGGGCGCGCGTGGGGGCGGGGGGAAGGGCCAGCTGGGGGAGAGGGGGGCCCTCAAGGAACCGGGGGCGTTGGGGTAGGGGGGGGAATTCGGGGAGGCGGGGGCATCGGGGGAGGCGGGGGCATCACTGGTGGTGGTGATGGTGAGGGGGAGAGCGGAGGAGAGGTGGACGGGGGAGGGGAAGGAGGGGGAGGAGGGGGAGGAGGGGGAGGAGGGGGGAGGGGGAGGAGGGGGAGAAGGAAGGTGGCAGGGGGGAGAAGCGGCGCACTAGGACCATGGAGTTGAATGTCACTCGGCGGGATGGCGTTGGAGGCGTGGGGCCAGGGATGTGCGCGCCAGAGGGGGAGGAGGAAGCGGAGGAGGAAGGGGAAGAAGCAGTGTCATCGGAAGGACGGTTGGTGGGAGTGGTTTGGCGGTGGCAGAGGGCAGGAGGAGGTGAGGGAAGAGACGTGCTGAAAGTGGTGCCGATGTCACCGCTACTGCTAATGCTGCTGCTGCTGCTGCTGCTGCTGCTGCCACTTCTGCTGCTACTACGTGCATACACACTCCGCTCCCTCAATCTGCTGCTCTCCCCATCTGACTCGGACCAACCCTCCAGTTGACTCTTCCCACGCACCGATCCTTGCAGCTGCCACTCATTGGACCGGGATCCCGAGCGTCGTACCGAGGCTGGAGGTCCGGCAGGCACCCGAACCTGCGACAGAGCTGCGGTAGGCACGGAGGAGCAGCGGGGCACGTGCGTGGGTCGGGTTCGGGCGGAGGAGGGGGGAGGGGGACCGCGGGGCGAGGCGGAGGGGCACAGCAGCCTGGGGGCTTTAGAAGACTGGGGGAGCGGGTGAGAGGGGGAGTGCAGGCGCGGGGAGGACCAGGCGAGGGGGGATCGGGGGGAAGGGGTCAGGGCGCGCGAGGCTGGATCCCCTGCCGCCTCTGCTGCTGTTTCCGCTGCTTGGGGTACATGCGGAGAGCTGGGCGAGTGTGACACAAGCGAGAAGACGGCTTCTGCTAGAGTCACGTCGTCATCGTCCGCAGCATCGCCGTCGTCAGCGCTGATGTGCGTGAATATAGGCGGGGGCCGCCACATGCCGTTCTGCCGCGCCTGCTGCGGCGGCGGCTGGTGGGTGGGGGAGGGAGGGGGCAGCATGGCGCGTCTCCGCGGGCTCACGCTCGCCGCGCCGTGACTGCTGCCGCCGAGTGTTACGCTGTAACCGTTGCTGCTACGGTTGCCATCGCCGCCGAAGGCTTGGCTGCTGCTGCGCCTGTGAGCCGCGCTGTGACCCCCACCCGCCGGTCCCTCCTTAGGGTCAGTTGACTGGAGCGACGCGCATCGGGGTGGAAACGAGTAGGTTGGTTTTGGCGACGGGGCGCGTCTCGCGCCCGCGCCGCCCTCCGCGGCGGGGGGCTCCGCTCGTCCCGCCTGCTGCCATTCCGCCAGCGACGCCAGCGACGCGCTCCGCCGATTCACCGCGTGCCCCGCCATTGCTCCCTGCGGAAATCCCGCCGACGCTGTCCTGTGGCCGGGATAGCTTTCCGCGCTCGGCGCCGGCGCGGACGCTCCCGCCGCGTGAACTGGCGCAGAAGTGACGGCGACAGGCGCCGTCGAGGCGACTGGCGCGCCTCCCGCTTTCGCGGCCGCGGTCTTCCGCGAGAGCGGGCGGGCGGTGGGACTGAGCGCGCGGAAGTCGGCGCAAATGGAATGGCGGCGCGCGTGTCCTAGGGGGTGCGTCGGGGACGCGCGCGAGGGGGAGAGGGCGGCGCCGGCAAGGAAAGGCTCCTCGAGGGACGAAACGGAAAGCACGCGCGGAAACGCGGCTCCGTCACGCCGAATGCTAGCAGGGCTGTCGGCGGCAGCAGTGCGGCGTCCGCCGCCGTAGCCGTCGCCATTGCTGGTGCCCCTAACTACGTGACTCTGCCCTCTCCGCAAGGTGCGCTCGCCGCCATTCCCCTCGCCAAGTCCGTCCGCACTGAACGCGCAGCTCGCGCTCCGCCGAAACACGCGCGCGTGCGTCCCGGTGCCTGCGGGCGCGCCAATTCCGCTGGTTCCGCCACTGGCGACGCTGCTAACCGCGGCGACAGTCCCGCCCGTTCCGCCACTGACCCGCGCCGCCGACTCGCTGCTCACCCCCGCCAGTTGCCTCCCCCCCGAAATGGCGGGGATGGCGGCGACGCGCCCCGGAGACGCGGAAGCGCCGCGTAGGGGACGCGAGATGGCCTCGCGGTGACCCTGCGACACGCCATCTGCGTGTGCGACGCCCGCGCCCGTCGACGACGACGCCGCGCCACCCGAGACGCTACGCGATCGAGCGAACATTTGTCGCGCGCCTGCGTTGCGCCCCTCCGCCGTGCCGACAGTTCCGCAATCCGCAGGCCTTCCCCGAGCGCTTCCCGTGGTACGTACGGCTGCTCCATGGGGGCTCGCACCGCGATCGGGGCGAGCGCCGCCATGATCCGCGGAAAGCGGTCCGGCGGCGCTTGCGCTCCTTACGAGGCGCGCGCCTAAGGCCGCATTTCCAGCCGGCGAGGATTGGCGGCGAGGGTCGAGCTGAAGCGACGCGGCGGGCTGCCAGTTGCGCCGCTGCCACAGCTGCGACGGATGATGCGGAGGGGTCGAACCCCCGGTTTCGGAGTCCGGACGCGGCTGCGACGAATCAGCGGCTCCGGCGACGTTTTGAGCGACCAGTGCGACCATTTGGTGCGACAGCGAGCGCGCGTGTCGCGCTTTCGGGCGGGCGCAATGCGCGGATCTGACTTGCGGGAGGCTGGGAGGGGGGAAGGGGGAAATGCAGGGAGAAACGTCAAGTTGTCAGGCTGGCCCATTGAAAGCCGCCGGAAATTGCGCTACGAAGCTGGGAGACACAGATCGCTAAAAAAAAATCATCGCATTGCGCGGGAAAGCAAGACAACAAGCAGCGGTCGTGCGGCGTGGAGAATGTGGTTAATGCTTGAAATGCGGCGCTCACCGTTGTGCACCGACGTCCCCGCATGAAGGCTCGACAAGAGACATGCTTGCGATGCGGCCGCAATCTCCGCAGTCGCGCTGTTGCGTCGTCAAATTAATCCAGCCCGCGTCGACTCGCACGGCGGATCCACGGCAGAGGCGTTAACGTCGTCAGAGTGGAGGATAGGGGGTGAGAATAGATATTTCGAGCTAAGCAGCTGCTACTTTGAACCGCCACTCCCTTGCCCCTCCGGACTATGGCCAAACTGTACGTGAAGAAGCTGTCAAACGCGAGCTCCTGCACCTCCTCACTGCTATTCACGAGACAGACAATGCACCCACAGGCAGAAAATGATTCACTCCTGTCTGCCATTCCCACGATCGCATTGCGCGATTTCGGTTGGTTCGTCTCGTCTTGTCCGCGCCACAGCCACAAGTCACGCCAGTTGGCGGCAGCGATTCGCAAGATTCCACCATGACTAGGCGGACGGGACAAGCTCGCCCAGGTGGCAGTCGGCAAGTGGAAAATTACTGGCGAATGGCGGAAAAGCGCGACGGTTCTGCTTGGTGGAAAAAGTGTGGGCAGATTTAAGAGTCCAGATTGCTGTTGAATGGACCCAAAATCAACACGCTGCTCCTATAATGAAGGCGCACGCGGGCAAATTTGATCCACGAAAATTGACTGTTCCACATGAAAAGTCGAGGAGAGAACTTGATTGGCTGGTGGTCACGACTTGGGCAGTCAAGGGATACGGACAAACGAAGGAAGGGGCAGAACAGAAGACATCAGCTGGAAAAGGTGAAGTGTGGTCGCAGACTCGTCATAGGCATGTGTTGCGAGTCATCTACACGAGCATACAATAATTAACTTTCAAAATTAATACTACTACTGCCAATGTGCAAATACCTAAATATTACACAATGTTTTCAACCTAGGGCCGGTAGGCTCTTGGCAAGGCCATCAACTGCCATCTCAATCTCCTCCTCCGTAATAACAAGGGGCGGCACAAGGCGCACCACATTGCCCTTGCCTGCTGTGATCACCAGCACGCCCTCCCCTCTCGCCGCATCCACCAACGGCCCAGCCGCCACATCCAGCTCCACCCCCACCATCAGCCCCCGCCCCCGAACCTCCTTCACATGTGGGTTCCCCCCGAGCCTCTCCCGAAGCAGCTTCCGAAGCAGCTCTCCCTTGGCTTCCACACTGGCGAGGAAGGCTGGGTTGGCGATCTTATCGAGGACGGCAAGTGCCGCCCGGCACACGAGTGGGTTGCCTGCAAAGGTGCTGCCGTGGTCGCCAGGTGCCATGGCTGCCGCCACCTGATTGGTCACCAGCACCGCTCCTATGGGCAGCCCGCCTGGGAGGCAAGCCGTCGGGGGAGGGATGGGGGGGAGTGGGGAGGAATGGGGAAGAGGGGGGTATGGAGGATGGAAGGACGGGAATTGAAGCTGCGAAGCAGGAGACCGGAAGACTAGGAGTACACAGGGCAGAGGGGTGTGGGGCAGAGAGGCGATGGTGGTGGGGCAGAGAGGCACATGGGGTGGGGCAGCGAGGCAAATGGGGTGGGGAAGAGAGCAAATGGGGTGGGGCAGAGAGGCAAATGGGGTGGGGCAGAGAGGCAACTGGGGTGGGGCAGAGAGGCAATGGGGTGGGGCAGAGAGGCAATGGGGTGGGGCAGAGAGGCAATGGGGTGGGGCAGAGAGGCAATGGGGTGGGGCAGAGAGGCAAATGGAATGGAGCACAGAGGCGATGCGCGCGCGTGGAGCAGAGAGGCAATGGAGGCAGGGAGGTTCAGGGGGCAAGGAAGGAGGATGCACAGGGGTTTAGAGGGTAGTGGAAGCGTGCATGGCAGCATGGCAGTAGGTACCTGCGAGGGGCTTGGCGAGTGTCATGATGTCGGGCGTGACACCATATGCCTCGTGCGCCCACACGTGCCCCGTGCGCCCCAGCCCGCACTGGATCTGCGCGCATGGGCGGAGAGGGTGGGGAGAGTTGTCGGGGCAGGCGGGAGAGGGGCGATGTGGACAGGAGAGGGTGATGAGGGGCGAATTAGGGGGGATTGATGAGGGAATAAGGGAGGGTCGGAGGGCATGCAAACAGGGGATGGGAAGCACGAAGGGGAAGCGTGAGAGGAGCGAACGGAGGGACGGGGGAGGACATGAGGAATGCGCGCAGTTGGCGGGATAGGCAGGCAGGCGGGCAAGGGAACAGAGCGGGAGTGAGGGAGGGCGCAAAGCACGGTGACGGGCGCAATGAAGCTGCAGAGATGACCGCACTGCACATTTGTCGGGTGGTTTCACTCGCCCTCATCCATGCACCCTCCCCATTCAATTAATTCGCCCTCTCGCACGCCACCTCCGCCCGGCCCCCCTCACCTCGTCGAATACCAGCAGCGCGCCGCGCTCGTCGCACAGTTGGCGCAGGCCGCGCAGGAACTCCGCGGTGGCGGCGAACACGCCGCCCTCGCCCTGCACCGGCTCCACGAACACCGCCGCCGTGCGCCCCGCGGTGATGGCGGCCGCCGCCGCCTCGAGATCGCCGTAGTCAGCGAACGCGACGCCGGGCATGAGCGGCTCGAACGGCGCGCGGAACTGCGGCTTGTAGGTGAGCGCGAGCGCGCCCATTGTGCGACCGTGGAAGCAGTTGCCGAATGCGACGAACTCCGTCGCATGCTCGTCGCCGCTCTTCGCCAGCTGGTACTTCCTCGCGAACTTAATTGCCGCTTCGTTCGCCTCCGTGCCCGAATTCACGAAGAACACGCGATCCGCGAACGACGACTTCACCAGGCGCTGCGCCAGCTGCACCATCGGCCACGTGTAATACAGATTGCTGACGTGTGCCAGCGTGGCGGCCTGATCCGTGACAGCGGCGAGCCAATCAGCGTCGCCGTGGCCCAGCGCGTTCACCGCAATGCCTGACGCCATGTCGATGTATTCGCGCCCGGCCGTGTCGTACAGGCGGCTCCCCGCGCCCGCCGCCACCACGAGCGGCGTGCGCCCGTACGTCTGCACCACCACGTCGCGCTCGATCGCCATGATCTCCTCCGCCGACGGCATCCCCGCCGCCACCGCTGCCGCGCGCTCCGCCGCGGTCACCGCGGAGGCAGCGGAGGCGGCGGTCGCGGGTCTGGCCTCGCAGCGGAGGGGGCGCGAGGGGAGGGGATCGGGGGAGGCGGACGAGCGCATTAGAGACGGAACGGGCAGCGGCTTGCCGGCGAAGGCGGGTGAGGATGCGGATGGGAAGGCGGTGGATTGGAGGGAGGCGGCGAGGGGGTGCGCGAGAAGGGAGGCGGTGGTGGCCATGGCGAGACGCAGAGCGAGTGACGGGAAGCTGGTGAAATTGGTACCAGAGGCAGACAGAGCATTCGCTGATTATAATAACGAATTTCGTCTGCTTTGTATACATCTCTGCTTTCTTGCCCCACAAGGCCGAACGGCCAGGACAATTTCGATAGCCAAGCATTCTCGAGGCCCAGCAAATTTCAGGTGGTGGTTTTACGCGTCAAGCTTCGCCTGGGCCCTCAGGAATTGCGTGCAAGCAACTAAGTGCTGGTGGGTTGCGGTTTTAGGAGCCGCAGGAACTTGCGGCTGAATGTGACGAATCCGCGAAGGACATTTGGACAGTGTTCAATCACACGATGCTCCACTTGATCTGCGACAAAGTCAGGCCTGCGAATAATGAAGTGTCTGTCTCGCCATTTGGACTACAGTTCATGAATTTCACTACCTTTACACATCAAAAAGCAATTCACACATTCGTGAGGCAAGTCCCAGGCCCCACAGCTCAAATTCTTGGCGGCAACTTCATGGTGACGACAAGACAACTCCAGGGCGACGCCCTCGCTTCCCGCGTTTTCTATGCCTTGGGAGCTTTGGGAATTGCTGGCAGAACGTCCCAATGCGGTTTGTCTGTGAAAAGTGAAGTGGTGTAATATGGCTTCTGCCATCCCACTGTCAGGAGGTGACACTCGAATTTCGGAATTCGAAAAGGCCACACTAGCTTTCACATCGCCACCTCCTCGCAGAAACACACAGCGTTGATCGCCGTGCTCTGCAATCGCCGCCGCTGGTGCAATATCGTCATATGAGATTCCGTCCGAAGCTTCTTTGGTCGACTCAAAATCGCTGCTGCAACCTTGTTTCATGAGATTCCGTCCGTAGCTCTCTCGCGTATCACCTGCCGGAGTTTCCCTTTTCCGTTCCGATCAAGGGTTTCTCGAGTGACGATCAGCCGCCATCATGTCGCAGGGAACGCAGCCCGGGTGAGTCGCACGCGCAGGTCTACAGCGCGCCGATGCGCGGATCCGTGCCTGCTTTGAAATGAGACGTTCGACCGTGACGTCACGATCTACGGAATTAGCAGTAACTGAATGTCGCGGCTAGTGAAACAACACGAGCCAACGTTTTGGTCCTTCGAAGCAATTGTCGAACGCACCTGTGGCAATGCTCCAAGAATGCCAGCCGAAGGATAGTTGTGGAATGGCGAGAGACTTGGAATGAAGGGAGACTCGATTAGTAACCGATTTTTTTTCTACCGTGTCATTTTTGTTTCCTCCGTCCGCCCTGCACCCTCACCCCATGCGCCCTTCCCTTGTTGCGCACTTTCCCTGTGCGCCCTTCCCCGTTTTGCTCTTCCCCTTTGCACCCTTCCTTGTGCTCTTTCCCTCGGGAGCGCAGCGAGGAGGCGTTCAACATACTGATGGCGACGGACAACCACCCATGTGCCCACTTTCCCGTGCTTCCTTCCTCCATGCGCTCTTACCCGTGCTTGCTTCCCCCATGCGCGCAGAGAGGACGCGTTCAGCATACTGGTGGCGACGGACAACCACCTGGGGTTCATGGAGAAGGACGATGTGCGCCGCCACGACTCCTTCACCGCCTTTGAGGAGATCTGCAAGCTCGCCCAGTCGCTGCAGGTGAGAGGAGATCTGCAAGCTCGCCCAGTCGCTGCAGGTGAGAGGAGATCTGCAAGCTCGCCCAGTCGCTGCAGGTGAGCCCACTCGCTGCAGGTGGGTGGGGGCTCTGCATGAGTATTCGCATGGTGCAGTGTCAGTCATTCCGTTAGTCTTGTCTCTATGTGTCCTCACGTGCACGTGTGTGCTGGTATGCATGGGAGCGAGCAGGTGGATTTCCTGCTGCTGGGCGGGGATCTGTTTCACGACAACAAGCCATCGCGCGCCACGCTGGTGCGCACAATCGACATTCTGCGCCGCTACTGCCTCAGCGACAACCCCGTTCGCTTCCAAGTCGTCAGCGACCAAACCCTCAACTTCCCCAACTCGTGAGCGACCAATCTTGCTACTTCCCCTATTCGTGCATCCTCATGCCCTTCCCAGCCGCCAGCTCCCTGCGTTCGTCTTTATTCCGACCCGTTGTAACCCCAGTCTCTTTCTTTCACGCTCTGCAGCTTCTCTCTTATCTGTTGCAGCGGCCTTTCTACGCGACTCACAGATGCTGCACTATGCTGTGTGGCTCTGTGCATGTGCTGCCATGCTGCCATGCCATGCTGCCGTGCTGCATGTGTGCATGCATGCGTGTGCATGCGTGCATGGCAGGTTCGGCCACGTGAACTACGAGGACGAGCACTACAACGTGGGCATGCCCGTCTTCACCGTGCACGGCAACCACGACGACCCCGCTGGCATCGTGAGTCACATCACACGCACTCACGCTGGGAGGGGCGCTGGGAGGGGCTGTGGGAGAGGCTGTGAGAGGGCGGTTGGGGGGGACGGTGGGCGGGGTGCTTGCTGCGGATGGCATGGGATGGGAAGGGGGGGAGTTTGAGTGCGCAATGAGCAGAGTCTTGTCAGCTCGTGCGAATCTCTGCTAACCAGTTGATACTGGGTGTGGCACATAACAACGTCCTGCTGTCCCTGCCACTGCATCCGCCCCTCGCACCACCCCTCCACCGCTCCCTCCCACCTACCCCTTCGCCCGCCGTCATGTTGCTTGGTCCTCCATGCGTGTGTTCTCCTCAATGCCCTCTCTGGTGCCAGGGCAGCCGGTCCTGTAGGCAGGGGATTGGCTGTTGTCGTGCAGCCTTGTCAGGCAGGCTGCGAGACCCTCCAAGCCTTGCTCCCAGCCGTTCCCACTCTCTCACACCGCCAGGACAACCTATCAGCGGTGGACATTCTATCGTCGTGCAATCTGGTGAACTACTTTGGCAAGTCCACCACGCCTGCGTGCCTGCCCTCCGTGCCTGCCCCCATGCCTGCCCTCCGTGCCTGCCCCCATGCCTCCCTCCATGCATGGCCCCCATTCCCCGCCAGGACAACCTATCAGCGGTGGACATCCTGTCATCATGCAATCTGGTGAACTACTTTGGCAAGTCCAACATGCCGGAACATGACGCCGCTCACATCACCCTGCACCCCGTGTTGCTGCGCAAGGTGCGTGGGTGGCAAGCAAGCAAGGTGCGTGGGTGGCATGCAAGCAAGGTAACTTGCTGTTTTATGCTTGGAAATTTGCTTTCAAGCAAGCTGGGTGTATTGCTCCCGCACATGACGCCGCTCAGATCACCCTGCATTGCACCCCGTACTGCTGCGCAAGGTGAGAGGGGGGCACACAAGGTGCGTGGAGGGGCCAAGGAAGCAAGGTGGGTGGGGGCGGGCAATGAAGCAAGGAGAGGAGGGCTTGCTGTGACGTGCGAATGCCGTATGGCACCACCTCCCACATGCGAATGCCGTATGGCACCTACTCCCACATGCCCCCCCTCGCTTACCTCCCAGATATTCTCTCCCTTCCTTTCCTCTCCTCTCCCCCGTCCTCTCCTCCCATTCCCCAGGGCGTTAACCGCATACCGCTGTACGGGCTGGGAAACCCATCCCCTCCCACTCTTCACTCGCCACGTGCCAACAGGATTTCCCCCTTCCCCCCCCCTTGCCTAGGGCGCGAACCGCATAGCGCTGTGTGGGCTGGGGTATATGCGGGAGGAGGTGGCTGTTGACTTGGTTCAGAAGCCGCCTTCCCCCGCACTTCCCCCTCTGCCCCCCCTTCCCCTCTCAGGGCGCCTATCGCATAGCGCTCTGTGGGCTGCGGTAGATGCGGGACGAGGTGACTCACAAGCCACTGAACCTCCTTTTCCCCTCCCCCCGATTCCCTCTCTCAGGGCGCGAACCGCACAGCGCTGTACGGGCTGGGGAAAATGCGGGGCGAGGTGGTTGTTGACTTGACTCAGGAGCCGCCTTTCCCCCTCACTTCCCCCTCTGCCCCCCCTTCCCCCCCCAGGGCGCGAACCGCATCGCGCTGTACGGGCTGGGGTACATGCGGGATGAGCGGCTCAAGATGATCATGGATGTGAGTGGGGGCGGGGGATGATCATGGATGTCAGTGGGGGTGGGGGATGATCATGGATGTGAGTGGGGGTGGGGGATGATCATGGATGTCAGTGGGGGTGGGGGATGATCATGGATGTCAGTGGGGGTGGGGGATGATCATGGATGTCAGTGGGGGTGGGGGATGATCATGGATGTCAGTGGGGGTGGGGGATGATCATGGATGTCAGTGGGGGTGGGGGATGATCATGGATGTCAGTGGGGGTGGGGGATGATCATGGATGTCAGTGGGGGTGGGGGATGATCATGGATGTCAGTGGGGGTGGGGGATGATCATGGATGTCAGTGGGGGGCTGGGTGGGAGAAGCAGTGGGAGGGGGGGCACGACTGGTGGGGCGAAGAGGGGGGGTGCGGGGACCGCGTGGGTGTGGGGTTGCCTCATGGATGTGTGGACCGTGGGGCGTGGAGGAAAGGGGTGGGAGCACCATCACCCCCCTTCCCCTCCTCTCTCCGCACTGCGGGCGAGGCAGAGCAGAACCCGCAGGGGCTGCAGTGGATCCGACCGCACGAGCCTCTCCCCCCATTCCCCCCCCATCACCCCCATCACCCCCATCACCCCCATCACCCCCATCACCCCCATCACCCCCATCACCCCCATCACCCCCATCACCCCCATCACCCCCCTCACCCCCATCACCCCCATCACCCCCATCACCCCCATCACCCCCATCACCCCCATCACCCCCATCACCCCCATCACCCCCCTCACCCCCCTCACCCCCATCACCCCCATCACCCCCATCACCCCCATCACCCCCATCACCCCCCTCACCCCCATCACCCCCATCACCCCCATCACCCCCATCACCCCCCTCACCCCCATCACCCCCATCACCCCCATCACCCCCATCACCCCCATCACCCCCATCACCCCCATCACCCCCATCACCCCCCTCACCCCCATCACCCCCATCACCCCCATCACCCCCATCACCCCCATCACCCCCCTCACCCCCCTCACCCCCATCACCCCCATCACCCCCCTCACCCCCCCTCACCCCCCTCACCCCCCTCACCCCCATCACCCCCATCACCCCCATCACCCCCATCACCCCCATCACCCCCATCACCCCCATCACCCCCATCACCCCCATCACCCCCATCACCCCCATCACCCCCATCACCCCCATCACCCCCATCACCCCCCTCACCCCCATCACCCCCATCACCCCCATCACCCCCATCACCCCCATCACCCCCATCACCCCCATCACCCCCATCACCCCCATCACCCCCATCACCCCCATCACCCCCATCACCCCCATCACCCCCATCACCCCCATCACCCCCATCACCCCCATCACCCCCATCACCCCCATCACCCCCATCACCCCATCACCCCCATCACCCCCATCACCCCCCTCACCCCCCTCACCCCCATCACCCCCATCACCCCATCACCCCCATCACCCCCATCACCCCCCTCACCCCCATCACCCCCATCACCCCCATCACCCCCATCACCCCCCTCACCCCCATCACCCCCATCACCCCCATCACCCCCATCACCCCCATCACCCCCATCACCCCCCTCACCCCCATCACCCCCATCACCCCCATCACCCCCATCACCCCCATCACCCCCATCACCCCCATCACCCCCATCACCCCCATCACCCCCATCACCCCCATCACCCCCCTCACCCCCATCACCCCCATCACCCCCATCACCCCCATCACCCCCATCACCCCCCTCACCCCCCTCACCCCCCTCACCCCCATCACCCCCATCACCCCCATCACCCCCATCACCCCCCTCACCCCCCTCACCCCCATCACCCCCATCACCCCCCTCACCCCCCTCACCCCCATCACCCCCATCACCCCCATCACCCCCATCACCCCCATCACCCCCATCACCCCCATCACCCCCATCACCCCCATCACCCCCATCACCCCCATCACCCCCCTCACCCCCCTCACCCCCATCACCCCTATCACCCCCATCACCCCCCTCACCCCCCTCACCCCCATCACCCCCATCACCCCCATCACCCCCATCACCCCCATCACCCCCATCACCCCCATCACCCCCATCACCCCCATCACCCCCATCACCCCCATCACCCCCATCACCCCCATCACCCCCCTCACCCCCATCACCCCCATCACCCCCATCACCCCCATCACCCCCATCACCCCCATCACCCCCATCACCCCCATCACCCCCCTCACCCCCATCACCCCCATCACCCCCATCACCCCCATCACCCCCATCACCCCTCTCCACAGAACCCACAGGGGCTGCAGTGGATTCGACCAGACGAGCCGGGCACGAGTGAGGACGACTGGTTCAACATCCTCGTGGTGCACCAGAACAGGTGCGTGCAGCTACAGCAGGTGATCTCAACAGAGCAGGTGATTCCAACAGAGCAGGTGATTCCAACAGAACAGGTGATTGCAGCAGAGCAGGTGACTGCAGCAGAGCAGGTGATTGCATGAGAGAAGGCTATGGCAAGTGTGATTGCTCGGCCTCCCAGAAGATTATCAGCAGCCACATCAGGTGATTGTTTTTGCCATCTTCCATACAAGCCACTTCTCCTGATCTCTCTCCCTTCCTCTCCACCACCACCCCTTTCATCCCCTTCACTCACGTCTTCCTTCATCCCCTCCCCCAGGGCCATGCGCATGACAGGGACGAAGAACGTGGTGACGGTGGACGAGAGCAACTTCCCCTCTCCCCTCCTTCAACTCTCCCCTCCCCCTACTCTCCCCTCCTCCCCCTCTCCTCCCCCTCTCCTCTCCCCCCTCTCTACCCCCCTCCCCCCCAGGGCGGTGCGCATGACGGGGGCAAAGAAGGTGGTGACGGTGGACGAGAGCAAGTTCGCGTCCTTCCTGGACCTGGTGCTGTGGGGGCACGAGCACGAGTGCCGCATTGAGCCCGAGGTGACACACAACCATGGGTGTGTGGGAACGTGGGCCGGGAGGGCATGGGGCGGCATGTGGAGTCATGTGGAGGCATGTGGAGGCATGTGGAGGCATGGGGAGGCCAAGGGGCGGGCAGGGGGAGACATGGTTTGGATAGAGGGAAGGGGTGCTGTGGAGTGGGCGCGAGGGGGGAGTGAGTGTGTGGGGTGGAAGAAATGGATAGGTGCATGTGCGCACTGCTTGAGGGACGAGCATGGCGCCTGGGATAGGCACAGGTGACAAGGAGCTAGCGCCTTCACATGCCAGCAGGGGCGAGCTGCTTCATATCACAGGGGTCGTCGGTGCGGTGGTCGCTCAGCTGGCAGATGGCCTTTTGAGTCGCTCAAAAGTCGCCTCCCCCCGTCTCCCCCATTTCTCCATGCGAGCAGGCACCAGTGGGAGCAAACTACTACATATCACAGCCGGGGTCGTCGGTGGTGACGCAGCTGGCAGAGGGCGAGGCCAAGCCCAAGCACGTGCTGCACCTGCTCGTCCAGGTGCGGTGATTCTGGGTGCGATGGGGTAACACTGCTTTTGGGTGTGGTGAATCTGGGTGCGGTGAGTTGAGGTGCAAGCAGCTGTGTGTGGGGGCAGGCTTGATTCTCCTTCTCCACGACCTCTCCTGCTCAGATCCCATCCCATTAGGCTGCAACTTAGAAGCTTGAAGCGTGCCCATATGTAACATCCCTATGTTGCTCCTTCCTGTCTCAAACGGTCCTTTCTATTAATGCGGTGATTGGTACAAGCAAGACGGTCAACGGAGAGCAGAAGGTTGAACATGCAAATACACCTCTCTACATCTACCCGCCCCCTAGCACCTCCCCTTACTCCAGGGTGTGGAGGAGGTCCCCTAGCTGCAGGGGCCAGGGGTCCGCCGGAGCCTGCGGGTGTGCCGCTTCAATGCTCGCCCGCGCCTTTGCGTGCAAGGCGTTCGCTTGACTGCGCTGGAGCATGACTGCCCAGCGCTGCCGGAAGTGGGCTGCCACCTTCTTCGCCGTCTTTGCTGTCTCTCGCCCTTACCATTCCCACTCCCCTGCACCATGCCACAATGCCACCACAACCACCAGGGCAACAAGTTTGAGTCACGCAACATCGCCCTCACCACTCCACGCCCGTTCGAATATGCCGAGGTGAGTCCAACCCACCATCAGTTGATTCCGACCCACGCCGCTTGCACCATCATCTGCTCTGCTGCCTCCCAACACTCCCCCCTCCTCCCCTCCCCCAACCCCCCCCGTTTTTCTCTTCCTTTCTTCCGTCGCTCTTCCCTCTGTCTCCCTCCCTTCTCTTCCATTTCCCTCCCCCGTCTCCCCCTTCCACCCTCCCCTCTCTTCTTCCCCTCTCAAGCCTGCGCCCTCCTTCCGCCTCCTCGTCCGCCCGCCCCCTTCCGTGTGCACCAGGTGGCGTGGAGGGACGCGCAGGGAGTGAACGCCAGGGGACCCCGAGGGCCTCACGCTCTTCCTTCCCCACCTCCCCACCTCCCTCCCCGCCCCCCTCCCGCCCGTCCCCTCCCCTGTGCGGCAGGTGACGTTGAGGAATGCGCAGGGAGTGAACGCCAGGGACCCGGAGGAGCTCGCGCTCTTCCTCTCCGCCACTGTGAGATTGGGGGGAAAGGGAAGGAAGGGGGGAAGGGACGGAGGGGGGAAAGGGACGGAGGGGGGAAAGGGAAGGAGGGGGGAAAGGGACGGAGGGGGGAAAGGGACGGAGGGGGGAAAGGGACGGAGGGGGGAAAGGGACGGAGGGGGGGGAAGGGAAGGAGGGGGGAAAGGGGAGGAGGCGGGAAAAGGGAAGGGGGTGGGGAGTGTGTGACTGCTGCCACAGTGAGAGGAAAAGAGGGCAGGGGAGTCTGCCTGCTGTTAGGAGGTTGAATTGAACGGTGCTTTCACCTGTGTAATGCTCGCACCTCCTCCCCTTCCTGCCGTGTCCCATCCGTCCTCTCCCCCCCTCCCTCTCCCCCCCCAGGTGCAGCGCATGATAGCCAAGGCGGAGAGCAGCTACAGGGAGAGGCGAGCAGCACAGCTGCCAGAGGGGCTGCTGGATGGGGGCGGCAGTGGTGGCAGAGAGGGGAGCAGGGAGGGGCCGGTACCGCTGCCGCTTATACGCATCCGCGTGAGTTGCTCTTGGTTCAAGCGAGCGGGGCCATGGCTCGCTGTGAGTGCGAGACCTACTTTTTTGTGTGGAAGCAACGAGAGTGCTAATTGTGTTTCTGAGTGTGTGACGCGACCATGCCCCTTCATCCTGCCGTGCCCCCACCACCCCCTGCTTCCCCATCCCTTTCCCTTCCCCTGCCTCCACACTCCATTCTCTGTCCTCCCTCCCCTCCCCTCCCCTCCCTTCCCTGTCCCCCCTTCTCCCCTGTCCCCCCTTCCCCCTCTCCCCCCAGGTGGACTACTCGGGCTTCTCCACCATCAACTCGCAGCGCTTTGGGCAGCAGTTCGTGGGCAAGGTGGGTGGCAGGGCGCATGGGGCACGGGGCACAGGGCATTGGGCATGGGGCACGATGGGCCACGGGGGGCCAAGGTGGGCACAGGGAACAAGGCGCAGGACAGGGGTGAAGCATTCGACGAGATGAAGTGGCATGGGGAGCAATGCATGGGTGGGATGGGGAGCGATAGATGGGTGGGGTGGGCTGAGCACCGTGCATGTGGACGGCTATATGGGCCCACTTGCTGTACCTTGCGTTGTGATCATGGTGTGTTGCATGTTGAATGTGTGCATGTGTGCGTGTGTGCATGGTGCATCTGTGCATGTGTGCGTGACATTTGCGCCCATCCATCCACACTTGCACATCTCCCCATGCATGCATGCATGCGAGCAGGTGGCGAACCCCCACGACATGCTCATGTTCTTCAAGGCGCCCACCAGGAAGCCCTCCACCAGTGAGTGCTGCTTGCGTGGTGCTGCTTGCATGGTGCTGCTTGCATGGTGCTGCTTGGGGAGTGGCGCGTGGCAGAGCGTGGCGGGGCAGAGGTGGCGGGTGGGCAGTGGTGGGGGTGGGAGCAAAGGGAAGCACCTGCGGGCAGAGAAGCCTTGTGCACCTGCACTGCCCGTGCTCTCACTCCAAACACCTCATTCTTCGTGCTGCCGTTGTGCCTGCCTGCTCCCCGTGTGCCTGCCTGCTCCCCGCCTGCGTGCTGCCCGTGTGCCTGCCTGCTCCCCGTGTGCCTGCCTGCTCCCCGCCTGCGTGCTGCCCGTGTGCCTGCCTGCTCCCCGTGTGCCTGCCTGCTGCCCGTGTGCCTGCCTGCTGCCCGTGTACCCTCAGCCGTTTTGGAGGTGGGCGAGGAGAGGGTGGTGCAGCCGGACGAGCTCAATCAGAGCAACATCGAGCAGCTGCTGCGAGACAGCAACGTGGTCAGTGCTCATGCTGGGCCACGTGGTGGGTGATAGGGCACGTGGTGGTGGTGATTGGAGGGCGGCATGGGAGGGATGGTCCTGCTGTCCGCATCCCGCCTCACCCCTCCATCTGCTCTACTCCCTTCTCCTCTTCTATCCTCTCCCCCTCCTCACCTCCCACCTCTCCTCCCCCTCCTCTCCCCCACACACCTCCCCCACTTCCCTCTCCCCCCTTCCCCACCAAAGAAACTGGAGGTGCTGTCGCTGGGCGGGCTGGCGGAGGCGCTGCATGGGTTTGTGGGGCGCGACGAGACGCACGCCTTCTCCTCCTTCCTCTCCTCCTCGCTCTCTGACACCCAGGTCAGCCCCCTCTCACACGCAGGTCAGCCCCCTCTCACACGCAGGTCAGCCCCCTCTCACACGCAGGTCAGCCCCCTCTCACACGCAGGTCAGCCCCCTCTCACACGCAGGTCAGCCCCCTCTCACACGCAGGTCAGCCCCCTCTCACACGCAGGTCAGCCCCCTCTCACACGCAGGTCAGCCCCCTCTCACACGCAGGTCAGCCCCCTCTCACACGCAGGTCAGCCCCCTCTCACACGCAGGTCAGCCCCCTCTCACACGCAGGTCAGCCCCCTCTCACACGCAGGTCAGCCCCCTCTCACACGCAGGTCAGCCCCCTCTCACACGCAGGTCAGCCCCCTCTCACACGCAGGTCAGCCCCCTCTCACACGCAGGTCAGCCCCCTCTCACACGCAGGTCAGCCCCCTCTCACACGCAGGTCAGCCCCCTCTCACACGCAGGTCAGCCCCCTCTCACACGCAGGTCAGCCCCCTCTCACACGCAGGTCAGCCCCCTCTCACACGCAGGTCAGCCCCCTCTCACACGCAGGTCAGCCCCCTCTCACACGCAGGTCAGCCCCCTCTCACACGCAGGTCAGCCCCCTCTCACACGCAGGTCAGCCCCCTCTCACACGCAGGTCAGCCCCCTCTCACACGCAGGTCAGCCCCCTCTCACACGCAGGTCAGCCCCCTCTCACACGCAGGTCAGCCCCCTCTCACACGCAGGTCAGCCCCCTCTCACACGCAGGTCAGCCCCCTCTCACACGCAGGTCAGCCCCCTCTCACACGCAGGTCAGCCCCCTCTCACACGCAGGTCAGCCCCCTCTCACACGCAGGTCAGCCCCCTCTCACACGCAGGTCAGCCCCCTCTCACACGCAGGTCAGCCCCCTCTCACACGCAGGTCAGCCCCCTCTCACACGCAGGTCAGCCCCCTCTCACACGCAGGTCAGCCCCCTCTCACACGCAGGTCAGCCCCCTCTCACACGCAGGTCAGCCCCCTCTCACACGCAGGTCAGCCCCCTCTCACACGCAGGTCAGCCCCCTCTCACACGCAGGTCAGCCCCCTCTCACACGCAGGTCAGCCCCCTCTCACACGCAGGTCAGCCCCCTCTCACACGCAGGTCAGCCCCCTCTCACACGCAGGTCAGCCCCCTCTCACACGCAGGTCAGCCCCCTCTCACACGCAGGTCAGCCCCCTCTCACACGCAGGTCAGCCCCCTCTCACACGCAGGTCAGCCCCCTCTCACACGCAGGTCAGCCCCCTCTCACACGCAGGTCAGCCCCCTCTCACACGCAGGTCAGCCCCCTCTCACACGCAGGTCAGCCCCCTCTCACACGCAGGTCAGCCCCCTCTCACACGCAGGTCAGCCCCCTCTCACACGCAGGTCAGCCCCCTCTCACACGCAGGTCAGCCCCCTCTCACACGCAGGTCAGCCCCCTCTCACACGCAGGTCAGCCCCCTCTCACACGCAGGTCAGCCCCCTCTCACACGCAGGTCAGCCCCCTCTCACACGCAGGTCAGCCCCCTCTCACACGCAGGTCAGCCCCCTCTCACACGCAGGTCAGCCCCCTCTCACACGCAGGTCAGCCCCCTCTCACACGCAGGTCAGCCCCCTCTCACACGCAGGTCAGCCCCCTCTCACACGCAGGTCAGCCCCCTCTCACACGCAGGTCAGCCCCCTCTCACACGCAGGTCAGCCCCCTCTCACACGCAGGTCAGCCCCCTCTCACACGCAGGTCAGCCCCCTCTCACACGCAGGTCAGCCCCCTCTCACACGCAGGTCAGCCCCCTCTCACACGCAGGTCAGCCCCCTCTCACACGCAGGTCAGCCCCCTCTCACACGCAGGTCAGCCCCCTCTCACACGCAGGTCAGCCCCCTCTCACACGCAGGTCAGCCCCCTCTCACACGCAGGTCAGCCCCCTCTCACACGCAGGTCAGCCCCCTCTCACACGCAGGTCAGCCCCCTCTCACACGCAGGTCAGCCCCCTCTCACACGCAGGTCAGCCCCCTCTCACACGCAGGTCAGCCCCCTCTCACACGCAGGTCAGCCCCCTCTCACACGCAGGTCAGCCCCCTCTCACACGCAGGTCAGCCCCCTCTCACACGCAGGTCAGCCCCCTCTCACACGCAGGTCAGCCCCCTCTCACACGCAGGTCAGCCCCCTCTCACACGCAGGTCAGCCCCCTCTCACACGCAGGTCAGCCCCCTCTCACACGCAGGTCAGCCCCCTCTCACACGCAGGTCAGCCCCCTCTCACACGCAGGTCAGCCCCCTCTCACACGCAGGTCAGCCCCCTCTCACACGCAGGTCAGCCCCCTCTCACACGCAGGTCAGCCCCCTCTCACACGCAGGTCAGCCCCCTCTCACACGCAGGTCAGCCCCCTCTCACACGCAGGTCAGCCCCCTCTCACACGCAGGTCAGCCCCCTCTCACACGCAGGTCAGCCCCCTCTCACACGCAGGTCAGCCCCCTCTCACACGCAGGTCAGCCCCCTCTCACACGCAGGTCAGCCCCCTCTCACACGCAGGTCAGCCCCCTCTCACACGCAGGTCAGCCCCCTCTCACACGCAGGTCAGCCCCCTCTCACACGCAGGTCAGCCCCCTCTCACACGCAGGTCAGCCCCCTCTCACACGCAGGTCAGCCCCCTCTCACACGCAGGTCAGCCCCCTCTCACACGCAGGTCAGCCCCCTCTCACACGCAGGTCAGCCCCCTCTCACACGCAGGTCAGCCCCCTCTCACACGCAGGTCAGCCCCCTCTCACACGCAGGTCAGCCCCCTCTCACACGCAGGTCAGCCCCCCTCTCACACGCAGGTCAGCCCCCTCTCACACGCAGGTCAGCCCCCTCTCACACGCAGGTCAGCCCCCTCTCACACGCAGGTCAGCCCCCTCTCACACGCAGGTCAGCCCCCTCTCACACGCAGGTCAGCCCCCTCTCACACGCAGGTCAGCCCCCTCTCACACGCAGGTCAGCCCCCTCTCACACGCAGGTCAGCCCCCTCTCACACGCAGGTCAGCCCCCTCTCACACGCAGGTCAGCCCCCTCTCACACGCAGGTCAGCCCCCTCTCACACGCAGGTCAGCCCCCTCTCACACGCAGGTCAGCCCCCTCTCACACGCAGGTCAGCCCCCTCTCACACGCAGGTCAGCCCCCTCTCACACGCAGGTCAGCCCCCTCTCACACGCAGGTCAGCCCCCCTCTCACACGCAGGTCAGCCCCCTCTCACACGCAGGTCAGCCCCCTCTCACACGCAGGTCAGCCCCCTCTCACACGCAGGTCAGCCCCCTCTCACACGCAGGTCAGCCCCCTCTCACACGCAGGTCAGCCCCCTCTCACACGCAGGTCCCCCTCTCACACGCAGGTCAGCCCCCTCTCACACGCAGGTCAGCCCCCTCTCACACGCAGGTCAGCCCCCTCTCACACGCAGGTCAGCCCCCTCTCACACGCAGGTCAGCCCCCTCTCACACGCAGGTCAGCCCCCTCTCACACGCAGGTCAGCCCCCTCTCACACGCAGGTCAGCCCCCTCTCACACGCAGGTCAGCCCCCTCTCACACGCAGGTCAGCCCCCTCTCACACGCAGGTCAGCCCCCTCTCACACGCAGGTCAGCCCCCTCTCACACGCAGGTCAGCCCCCTCTCACACGCAGGTCAGCCCCCTCTCACACGCAGGTCAGCCCCCTCTCACACGCAGGTCAGCCCCCTCTCACACGCAGGTCAGCCCCCTCTCACACGCAGGTCAGCCCCCTCTCACACGCAGGTCAGCCCCCTCTCACACGCAGGTCAGCCCCCTCTCACACGCAGGTCAGCCCCCTCTCACACGCAGGTCAGCCCCCTCTCACACGCAGGTCAGCCCCCTCTCACACGCAGGTCAGCCCCCTCTCACACGCAGGTCAGCCCCCTCTCACACGCAGGTCAGCCCCCTCTCACACGCAGGTCAGCCCCCTCTCACACGCAGGTCAGCCCCCTCTCACACGCAGGTCAGCCCCCTCTCACACGCAGGTCAGCCCCCTCTCACACGCAGGTCAGCCCCCTCTCACACGCAGGTCAGCCCCCTCTCACACGCAGGTCAGCCCCCTCTCACACGCAGGTCAGCCCCCTCTCACACGCAGGTCAGCCCCCTCTCACACGCAGGTCAGCCCCCTCTCACACGCAGGTCAGCCCCCTCTCACACGCAGGTCAGCCCCCTCTCACACGCAGGTCAGCCCCCTCTCACACGCAGGTCAGCCCCCTCTCACACGCAGGTCAGCCCCCTCTCACACGCAGGTCAGCCCCCTCTCACACGCAGGTCAGCCCCCTCTCACACGCAGGTCAGCCCCCTCTCACACGCAGGTCAGCCCCCTCTCACACGCAGGTCAGCCCCCTCTCACACGCAGGTCAGCCCCCTCTCACACGCAGGTCAGCCCCCTCTCACACGCAGGTCAGCCCCCTCTCACACGCAGGTCAGCCCCCTCTCACACGCAGGTCAGCCCCCTCTCACACGCAGGTCAGCCCCCTCTCACACGCAGGTCAGCCCCCTCTCACACGCAGGTCAGCCCCCTCTCACACGCAGGTCAGCCCCCTCTCACACGCAGGTCAGCCCCCTCTCACACGCAGGTCAGCCCCCTCTCACACGCAGGTCAGCCCCCTCTCACACGCAGGTCAGCCCCCTCTCACACGCAGGTCAGCCCCCTCTCACACGCAGGTCAGCCCCCTCTCACACGCAGGTCAGCCCCCTCTCACACGCAGGTCAGCCCCCTCTCACACGCAGGTCAGCCCCCTCTCACACGCAGGTCAGCCCCCTCTCACACGCAGGTCAGCCCCCTCTCACACGCAGGTCAGCCCCCTCTCACACGCAGGTCAGCCCCCTCTCACACGCAGGTCAGCCCCCTCTCACACGCAGGTCAGCCCCCTCTCACACGCAGGTCAGCCCCCTCTCACACGCAGGTCAGCCCCCTCTCACACGCAGGTCAGCCCCCTCTCACACGCAGGTCAGCCCCCTCTCACACGCAGGTCAGCCCCCTCTCACACGCAGGTCAGCCCCCTCTCACACGCAGGTCAGCCCCCTCTCACACGCAGGTCAGCCCCCTCTCACACGCAGGTCAGCCCCCTCTCACACGCAGGTCAGCCCCCTCTCACACGCAGGTCAGCCCCCTCTCACACGCAGGTCAGCCCCCTCTCACACGCAGGTCAGCCCCCTCTCACACGCAGGTCAGCCCCCTCTCACACGCAGGTCAGCCCCCTATCACACGCAGGTCAGCCCCCTCTCACACGCAGGTCAGCCCCCTCTCACACGCAGGTCAGCCCCCTCTCACACGCAGGTCAGCCCCCTCTCACACGCAGGTCAGCCCCCTCTCACACGCATGCCAACCGGTTCCTGCCTGCCTCCACCCGCACGTGCCTCTGCGCTCTCACTCTCCCTGTTTCTCATGGCTCTTCCTCTCTCCTCCCAACCTCCACACTGCCCGTCCGTATCCTCTCACTGTGTCCCTCGTTCTATTGCGTTCCTCCCCATCCCCTCCTCCTCATCCCCACCCCCTGTCCACCACACCCCTTCCATGTCATCACGGCTTTCTTTCAACCCCGGCAGGCATGGCTGGTGAAGGAGCAGGAGGGGGCGGGGCTGAGGGACGACGAGGACATTCTCAGACTCGTGGAGCAGCGAGTGCTGCAGGTGGGGAAGGGGGGGAGATACTGGTTGCATGTGATGAATGCTTGCCCGCTGCTGTGGGCTGCTGCTACCAAGTGCTTCCTGCTGTGGCTGCAGGGATCGATGAAGCACACACCTTTCTCACTTGCCTCACCTGCTGCCATCCCACCCACCGCTGCTCCAAGCATCCGCCTTTCCGTCCCTCAACCCCCACCCTGCTCGGCATGCGCGGTGTGCTCCTGGCAGGACATGGAGAAGCGGGGTGGTGCGGCGGCGCCTGGCGATGGCTCTGGCGATGCAGGAGCAGCGCAGCCGATGCCCGATGTGAGTTCAGTCGTGGCATGGAGCAGGTGAGTGAGTGATGCATGGAGCAGGTGAGAGAGTGATGCATGGAGCAGGTGAGAGAGTGATGCATGGAGCAGGTGAGTGAGTGATGCATGGAGCAGGTGAGAGAGTGATGCATGGAGCAGGTGAGAGAGTGATGCATGGAGCAGGTGAGAGAGTGAGTGATGCATGGAGCAGGTGAGAGAGTGAGTGATGCATGGAGCAGGTGAGTGAGTGATGCATGGAGCAGGTGAGTGAGTGATGCATGGAGCAGGTGAGAGAGTGAGTGATGCATGGAGCAGGTGAGAGAGTGAGTGATGCATGGAGCAGCCGAGCGAGCGAGTGGGTGCTGGTTGTTGGTTCAACTCGCAGCACGTGGCATGGCATGTGCCTCTGGTCGCATGCCTTGGAATTGTCATTTCTGCACCCATGCAGTCCATGCCCTGCTCCCTGGCCCTTTCAATCTGCAGACTCCATCCCATCCCATGCCATGCCACGCTGTGCTCCATGCAATCTCCCCACCTCCCCGCCCCCCCCACTCCCCACCTTCTCCGCCCTTCCGATATCCCCCCCGCGCCCCTCCCCCACCCTTTCGCCTGCCTCTACACTGCAGCGTGGCAGCATGGACGCGCCCAAGCAGGGGGAGGAGAGGGAGGGGGGGGACGAGGGGGACGAGTGGGAGGCGGACGAATGGGAGCAGGGGAGCAAGGGCAGAGGGGGAAAGGGGCGGGGAGGTAGGGGGAGAGGGAGAGGCAGTGCGAAAGCAGCGGCTGGTGATGGGGTGTCGTTAAGAGGGGGGCGAGGAGGGAGGGGGAGGGGGCGCAGCAGCAGCGGGGGAGCAGGGGGAAGAGGAATGAAGCAGGCGACGTTTGACAGTATGGGGCTGCGAGGCAGGTGCGATGGGAGGGAGGCGAGGCATTGGGCAGGATGAAAGGCAGGCATGGCATGGGGTGAAAGGTATGAGATGGTGTGATGTGCATATGGGTCGCACCTTGTGCATGTGGATCGCACCTTGTGCATATGGATCGCACCTTGTGCATATGGATCGCACCTTGTGCATATGGATCGCACCTTGTGCATGCAAGAATGTATGGCATGCCTGTGCACTGGAACAGCCGTGTGTGTGAGCATGCCTCTGCTCACCCATGTGCGTCCCTGCCTCTGCATGCAGGTCAACAATAACAGCGACACCCGCAGGTGGGAGGGCGGCAGCGAGTGTGGGCAGCACCAAGGTGCCGGTTGAGGAGGAGGAGGAGATCGAGGACGACGACCTGACCGGTCAGGGCATGATGGGTGCACCACGTGGGGCAGCCGATGTGGACATGGACAAAGAGGAGGAGGGGCCGGAAGAGGAGGCAGTGGGTCTGGGCTCCAGGGTCAGTGCGCCTTGCCCGTATCGTCCCCTCTCTTCCCTCTCCCTCTCCTTCCACTCCTCCACTTATCTTCCGTGTTCTCTTTAAATGCAGCCTGTTTCCCGAAGCCCATAACTCCTTGTTTGCTCACTCTCTGCTGCTCCCCTCACGCCACCCCTCTTCCCCCCTCTCCACCCACCCCAGGCATCAGCAGCGCGAGCAGCCTCCCAGCGCCGCTCTACTGCCGCTGCCTCCCCCATGAGTCAGCGGGAGGGGCGGGGGAGGGGACGGGGCGCAGGGGCAGCAGCAGCAGCAGCAGCAGGGGGAGGGGGGAGGGGAAGGGGGAGGGGGAGAGCAGTGGTTGGTGGGTGGAGCAGTTTGGGTGTGTCAGGCGTTGGTACGGCAGGAGTGAGCGTGCAGAGTGACGGGGAGGAGAGTGATGAGGAGGAGCATGTGCGGCATGGCGGCATAGAGGAGGAGGATGATGAGGAGGAAGATGGCGAGGAGGAAGAGGAGGAGCAGAGGGCGCGGGCAAAGCGAGCAAGAAGGGGCGTGGGTGGTGTGGTGGGTGGTTTCAGCTTCACACCCTCGCAAGTGAGTGTGGAGGATGCAATGTGTGACCCGCGATTGTGTGTGCTGCACACGATTGTGTGTGCTGCACACGATTGTGTGTGCTGCACGCGATTGTGTGTGCTGCACGCGATTGTGTGTGCTGCACACTTCTTACCACTACTGTGCTCACGTGCTTTGAGTGATGCTCGTTTACACATCTTCACATATTCACTCATATTCACTCACATTCACTCGCATTCACTTATTCACACATGCCCAAGATTGTTCCACTACATACAACATGCGCCTCACCTCGTTCACAACTGGTGTCTCTCTGTGGCAGCAGCGTGGCAGCAGGTATGGAAGAGCAAGGCAGTGAAGCTGATGTGAAGGAGAGGACAAGCGATTCAAACTACTGATTTGTCTGTGTTGGGCCGTGGCCAGTATACTCCTGGGTTATTCAATGTATACGCGTTCCTTCAAGTCCATGTTTGCACACCATGTTTGCTTCCCTATGTTTTTGTCCACCCACACTTAGTCTAATGTGAATCATAGAACCCTGTAAGTTGGAATTGAGCTCCACTAAACAACTAGCTGACGCATCACGAATTTCTCTGTAAGGTGTTCACGTCCACGTCACGAGGCACTTCCCTAGGCTGTTGCTCATTCGTCAGTAGAAGTTGGGCCGCAACGCGAGGGCGAATCGTCGTCCACTTCCCTGACCACGTGTCCCTCATTTGTCGCACACGACCGCCTTGATTTCGCACGGCGCGGTCTCTGCGAGTGCTCTGCGCGAAATGGGTCAGCGCAACCGGGGCTGGGCGGAGTGTGCGCGCGCGGAATACTGAGCGGCCGAGGGGGAAGGGCCAATCCAGGGAGTGGGCTAGAGCAACTAAAAGCAAGACTAGAATGCTAAGTGCTTCAAAAAGCGCGAGTCCAAGTAGATACGAGCCACGCCCGCACGCGCCTTGCTCCACTCGCGCCTTCCACCTCGCCCGCCGCTTTTCCCGCAACGCTAGATTCACCCGCATCGTGCCTCGTTCCGCCGTCGCGCGTCCGCCCACTCTAAAAGATCCTCCTTTGCTTCCATCCGTCCATTGATCCACGTCTCGCCATTCCTTAATCGTCGACGCAATCCATCAAAATCCGACCGTCCGTTCCGCTGAGGCATTGACGCGGTCGTTTCTGCACCGATTTGCGTCACTTCGATCGATCTCATCCTCCGGCGCTTCGCTTGTAGATCCACGTCAGCCTCTCGCCCACCAATCACCGCCATGGCTTCAGTCGCCCTCAAGCGCGTCGCGCGACTCGTCAACGGGTCGCCCGGCGTCGCAGCGTCGCTGTCGCGAGCCATGAGCTCGCTCGTTCCCGCGATCGACGCCGCGGCGCCCGTCGGATCGGGCGCGCACAGCCCGGCGAGTCCAGCGCAAGGCGGCGCGGCGGCGGCCGCGTGGGAGCGGGGCGCCTGGCGGCGCGGCATGTCATCGGCGGCGGCGGCGGCGAGCTCGGAGGAGGAGAAGCGCGTCGTGACGCTCTTCCCGGGCGACGGCATCGGCCCGGAAATCGCGGTGGCCGTCAAGCAGGTTCGGCGCGCGCAGAGATCCCAATGCGCTCTATCTGAGTCGCTTTCGAGAATTCTCAAAGGCGCTCTCCTCTGCCAACCCCCTCCGCAAACCCCCCGTCCCTTCCCCTCTCTCACCCTCACCCTCCCCTTCCCCTCGCCCCCTTCCCTCGCCCCTCCGCCGCCCGTCCGCGCGGCGCGGCAGGTGTTTGCGGCGGCGGGCGTGCCGGTGGAGTGGGAGGAGCAGGCGATCGGCACATCGGTGGACCCGCGCACCAACAGCTTCGTGACGCTCGAATCCCTCGAGTCGGTGCGGCGCAACGGCGTGGGGCTCAAGGGCCCCATGACGACTCCCATCGGCAAGGGCTTTCGCTCGCTCAACCTCACTCTGCGCAAGGAGCTGGGGCTGTTCGCGAATGTGCGGCCGTGCAAGAGCATTCCTGGTTACCGCACGCGATACGACGACGTGGACCTGGTTACCATTCGCGAGAACACGGAGGGGGAGTACAGCGGGCTGGAGCACACGGTGAGAAGATGGGGGGGATGGGGGAAGAGAAGTGCGGGGGCAAGGAAGGGATGGGACTGTAGGAGAAGCAGGTGGCGAGGTGAAGGCGGGGAGCGGGGCGAGGTGTGCGGGCGAGGGATAAGGAGGGCGGAATGGCGAAAAGCAATGCAACATGGTGGTGGTGGCTGAAGGGGGAAGCAGTGCAGTGTGGTGGAATGGTGGGAGCAGATCTGTGGGGAAACCCATTGCCATGTCCCATGTAACCGCATGCCCCATGTAACCGCATGCCCCATGTAACCGCATGCCCCATGTAACCGCATGCCCCATGTAACCGCATGCCCCATGTAGCCGCATGCCCCATGTAACCGCATGCCCCATGTAACCGCATGCCCCATGTAGCCGCATGCCCCATGGCGCGTGGCCATAGTGCAACGAACTGCCTGTCCGCGTGACATTCCCTTAACCACCCCACGTCACCGCCACACCACTGCACTCCCTATTGCCGCACCACCGCCCTCCCGACTGACACACCACTCCCCATCCCGCGCCATCCCTTCCCCCCTCCTCCCCCCCTTGGCCCCACGGCGCGCAGGTGGTGAAGGGCGTGGTGGAGTCGCTGAAGGTGATAACGCGCGCGGGCAGCATGCGCGTGGCGGAGTACGCCTTCAAGTACGCCAGGGAGCACAACCGCCAGCGCGTCACCGCCATCCACAAGGCCAACATCATGAAGAAGTCAGACGGGCTCTTCCTGCAGGTGCGGCCGATGGACTTGTAGTTTGCACATGCGCCGCTCTTCCTCCTCCTGCTCGCTACCAACCTCCCCCCCCTCCCCCCTCTTCCCCTCACCCCCCCTGCACCCGCCATTCTCCTCCCTTTGCACCTGTTCCCCTCTTCGTCTTCCTCTTCCCCTTTCCTTCTTCTCCCCTCTCCATCCATCCCTCTGGCCTGCTTCTCTGGCTTATTGTGACTCCAGTCTACTCATTTCCGTCTGCCCGCACACACTCACACACAATCCTGTATCACACACACACTCCTTTCTATCACAGACACTCCTCTCTGTCACGCACACTCCGTCGCTCTTCACACACCCTTGCGTCATCACTCACTCTCTCTTCATCACTCTCTTTCTCTTCATCACACACAACTCTCACTTTCTCACAAACTTCAAATTCACCCCCATCTCCCGCGCTCCTCCCTCCTCTGCGTGTGTGCGCGCGCGGCACGGCACGTCGCGGCACGGCAGTGCTGCAGGGAGGTGGCGGAGCAGTACGCGGACGTGCAGTACGAGGAGAGGAGCTCATCATGCACCCATGCACATGGCACATGGCACATGGCACATGGCACATGGCACATGGCACATGGCACATGGCACATGGCACATGGCACATGGCACATGGCACGTGGCACATGGCACATGGCACATGGCACGTGGCACATGGCACGTGGCACATGGCACATGGCACATGGCACGTGGCACTCACCCTTATCTCCCTCTCCCCTCCCTCTCACACGGCAGTGCTGCAGGGAGGTGGCGGAGCAGTACCCAGATGTGAAGTACGAGGAGCTCATCATCGACAACGCCTGCATGATGGTGCGCTGGGGGTGGGGGTGGGGTGTGATGGCGGTGCATGCATGGTGGCATGGTGCTGCTGACGTGATGCTGGGGTGCTGGTAGGGTGCTGGTGCAATGGTGGTGCGATGCTGGTGGGATGGTCGTACCGTGCATGTTGGTGGGGCTGATGTGCTGCCTGCATGTCTCATGCTGCCCGCATGTGCGCTGGTGCCAGGGTGGTTTCAGGTTCTCACACCGTGGACGGCACACAGGGCTTCACAGGACCACCATGTAGACCACTCCACATCTATCAACACTCTCATCCCCACCTCCCCCCACACCTGCAGCAGCACATCCTCAGTTTTCCAACCTCCCCCCTCCCCAATCCCTCTCTTCTCCCCCCATTGGCAGCTGGTACGGGAGCCGAGGGACTTTGACGTGCTGGTGATGCCCAACCTGTCTCCCCCCACACCCCCTCCACCCCCTCCACCCCCTCCTCTCCCCCCCCCCCCCCCTCCCCGACCCCCCTTCACCCCCCCCTCCCAATGGGCGCAGCTGGTGCGGGAGCCACGGGACTTTGACGTGCTGGTGATGCCCAACCTGTACGGCGACATCGTGAGCGACCTGGCCGCGGGGCTCATAGGCGGGCTGGGCCTCACTCCCTCGGGCAACATCGGCCGCGACGGTCTCGCTCTCATGGAGGCGGTTCATGGCACCGCGCCTGACATCGCTGGCAAGGTGAGACGGGCTCAAGGATGGATGGCCGGGGCAAGGTGAGTGGTGAATTGATGGGAGAGTGTCAAGTGAGTGGAATCTGGAGGTGGTTGTAGCTATGAATGGGAGGCACACCTTCCCTGTCTTCCATCCCTATGGCCCTTTCTTCCTCCCTCCCTGACCTGGCCCCTCCTCCTCACCCTCGCATCGATCACCTCTCCCACCCCCCCCTTCCCTCCACTCCCCCACCCCCTCCCCTCCCCTCCCCCTCCAACAATCCTCACCCGCCCTCCCCTCTCGACCGGCACATGGCAGAACCTGGCGAACCCAACGGCGCTGCTGCTGAGTGCCGTGATGATGCTGCGCCACATGGAGCTGGGCGCACATGCCGACCGCATAGACGCCGCCGTCATGGCCACCATTGAGGCGGGCCGCTTCCTCACGCGCGACCTCGGTGGCTCCTCGGGCACCTCCGACTTCACCAAGGCAGTCATTGGCAACCTGCAGTGATCGCTGGCTCGCTGTGGGCCTCGCTTAATGCATGCAGCGCTTTGCTAGTAAGCAGTCGCTAACGCTGAATGCGGCTGAGGTTACCGTCATTGCCCGGATATAAGGCGTATATGTCTGTCTTATCTTTTGCACTAGAAAAAAGGATACCAGGCTGCCGCTCGTGAGGCTTCCAGGTGAAGGCGCTGCTGGACAGTCAAGCCTCAAGGTGTATTTGACAACGGTGGGTGGATTGGAGGG